CAACTCACAGCTGCTCGAGTGACACCATAATGCTCAAGTCCAGTTTGGCTATTTCGCAATGCAACGACTCGCCTGGCAGATAACTGATGCAGCCGTGTTACTCTCGTAGCCAAACAAGTTTACAGACTTGGCGCTTACATGTGCGTCACTGTGGTCGGCTCAGTGAACGCGTCGCACCGAAGTCCTTTCCATGGCCACAAGAACTCGGCATCATCATCTGCAGAGCTTCTGTTCGGACGAAGGATTCTGAAGGCCTATTTGCGACGGAAGGACCGGGCGCAGGCTCGCTGGGACCACATGAAGAGCGGGTTCGAGGAGATTTTGCTCGAGATTCGGCATGTGCGTCATCATGTTGAGAGGCTTGAAGCGGGTGGAGCTCATCGTGGACTCAAGCGTGAGTAAAAGGCGACTATGTCACCTTGGGAGCGAAGGTGACGGAAGTGTGTATTGCGTATGGATTGACGTGCGTTAAGGCAGCTACGACTAGGAAAAACTGCCGCGTGAGCTCGTTCTCGAGCCCCAAGAGCAGAGGCCGAGTGTAGTTAGCTTTGCGGTTAATGAATTTATCAACATGAATGCTTATTGATGAATGCTTATTGAAACACAGTTAGATGCAGATATTGTAGGCGTCCTAGATGCTGAAGTACATGTGTATTTGGTAACTCAGGGAGTTACCAGAGAAAATCTCTGCTGTCTAGGAGACTGTACTCACGATATTGCTGTGGTTACAAAAATGCTACAGTATTACATGTAAAATGCTCAGGCTGAATCTGAGTCTGAATAGCTGATTTGGGCTTTATCACTTATGCGAGGGCGGAGGTGGTACGGACTGGGCTATATCACTTATGGGAGGGCGGAGGGCTCAATTTGGGCCGGGTTTGTTGATTGCGCTGCGACGGGTTCTTTCGAGAATACAAACTGGCAGTATACGGATCAGCAGCAAGAAAAATGTAGACCAAGATAAAAGAGGGATCGGCTGGACCTCATCTTTTATAGTGAATAATGGTGGTAATGCTTGCGTTTACTATGGCAAGCCATTACTATCAAAATATACTGCGAAAGGTGAAACTCAAAACTTCATACGAAAAGACATTGTGCGACTCCGTCAAAGTGAGTACGATCGACGAGCGCGTAGCCCCGAACATGCACGAAACCCGGATGGGGTGGCTGCAGAGCGGTGGTGGATAAGTGGTTGGTCACCGTCCATTCGCCTTCATCCGCCGTTTGTTTATTCGGCCTCATTCGCGAATCTGCCTCGGAGACAACAAGCGCCTTGAAATGCTACCACTACCGTGCTTGAGATTTGGCGCCCATGTAGTCATATCTCGATCTTGTAAGATTGACACCTCGGTAGTCTCGCCTACTTCTGTGCGGACGCAAACTCGAAGCTCACACAATTTACATACACCGACTTCAGCATTGGCAGTCGTCCATTCGTCCATCCAGCTGTGGGCTGAAGATTGGGAGTAGCCCCAACACAGCCGAAGTCCACCCCCAAGCGTGTTTTGTGTCAAGATGCTGCACGAAGCGCTGCACGACACCCAAGTCTCCCTCGGCTGACTCCTGAAACCAGGAGCACGGATCAAGCTCGCTCAAGCTGTGTATCAACTGGAGCTAGGCCAAGTTGCTGTCAAGGCTCCGGCCCACGACGCCAATAAGTCTACCATGCCAGAATTGCCACGTCGACGGTCGCTAGTCTGATCAAGATGCCTGGATGCAACAAGCCCTCAACATGGATCAAGCCACCGTTTCTGGCACCATGAGGTCCATTGAGAAGCCATTCAAAGGAGTGGAAGCTGTGTGAGCCTCCACATATATGCTCGTCCTCGACCTCATCTGGAAGCCACCTTATGAATGTGCAGGCTAGCGTGGGGGCTGTTCGCGGTTGCAATTGCGTCTACAGCAGTGATTGCAGTAGCACCAAGTTGCAGGCATTACTCCATATCACACTAGTTCCTGCCACTGATGATGTGATCCCTGCCACTGATTATGTGTTGGCGGTGCTGTGTTGTGACTCGTACACCTTCTATCAGTGTCGACCCAAGCCGAGGACGGTCATTTTCCCAAGTGCCATCCAGAGTGTACGCAAACATTACCGCAGTTCCTGGCTGTTGATGTCATTGCTGCCGCTTCAAAGTCTTTGCCGTTGCCGCCACCTATGCTACCACGCCCAGGCTGTTGGTGCTGTCGGTATCAACGGTACCAAGCTCACGTCGTCGGTGACACAGACCCCAATGCCACCCCCAAGTAGCATCTGTGTGGCCTCGCGGTCGCTCAGTTCTAGTTGTAAACTTGGGCTTTTGCCTGGGTGAGCTACGTGGAAGACATCGTCAGGTGGGGAGTTTGGCTGGGGCGGCACATCTGTTAAATGATAACACAGGTGTCCTAAGGTGAGCTCAATGAGAACAGAAATCTCATGTAGACAAAAGGGTAAAAGCTCACTTGATTTTGATTTTCAGTATGAATACAAACCGTGAAAGCGTGGCCTATCGATCCTTTAGTTCTTTTGAATTTTAAGCTAGAGGTGTCAGAAAAGTTACCACAGGGATAACTGGCTTGTGGCAGCCAAGCGTCCATAGCGACGTTGCTTTTTGATTCTTCGATGTCGGCTCTTCCTATCATTGCGAAGTAGAACTCGCCAATTGTTGGATTGTTCACCCACTAATAGGGAACGTGAGCTGGGTTTAGACCGTCGTGAGACAGGTTAGTTTTACCCTACTGATGAGTTCGTTGTCTAAACAGTAATCCAACCCAGTACGAGAGGAACCGTTGGTTCAGATAATTGGTAACTGCGGTTAGCTGAAAAGCTAGTGCCGCCAAGCTACCATCTGTAGGATTATGGCTGAACGCCTCTAAGTCAGAATCCATGCTGGAATAGACGATAATCACCTTTCCCGATGTGCCGCGAATAGCGATAGGTGTCTTCTGGACACCCAACATCATACAATTGCAACGCACTCCGCTGCCTGTCAAGTACTGGCGGTGGAGAGTAGGCTGATTTGTAATTTCAAATATTGGGAAAGATAAATCCTTTGTAGACGACTTAACTACAGAACGGGGTGTTGTAAGCATGAGAGTAGTCTTGTACTACGATCTGCTGAGATTTAGCCCTTGTTCTATTGATTTGTTCAGAAATGAACATTTCTCCCCCCAATTGCAAACGCGCAATGTTAAAACTATAAAGTTAAGCAGTCGAAATAAGGCTGCGTTAAAGTGATTTACTTTCGCTATGGGGCGGCGAAAGTAACCGGTCAAAGTGCTGGTAGAGAGTTAATACTGTTAAGCTTAAGATCGTCAAAGTCTTTGTTTTGGCTTAGTGAGGTTTGTTCGCAAAAATCGCTAAGTGCCGCTGCTATTGTTTTCCGAGCCAAATTCGGCGACCTTAGTATCGGGTTTATAACAGGCAGAAAGCGAGAAACACTTTGCGTGAAAATCGCTAAGTGCCAGCGCTAATGATTTCTGAGCCAAAATCGGAGATTTTAGTATGGGGGTTTAACAGGGCAAGCTAGACGGCAGGGCGTAAAATTAGACTTGGTTTAAGTATGTTAAAAGAGAGCGAATAGCGTGAATTAGACCTGGTTTAACTATGTTAAAAAAAGCGGAATAGCATGAATTAGACTTGGTTTAACTATGTTAAAGAGAGCGGAATAGCATAAAATAGACTTGGTTTAAGTATGTTAAAAGAGAGCGAAATAGCGTAAATTAGACTTGGTTTAACTATGTTAAAAGCAGAACGAAATAGCGTAAATTAGACTT